CCCCAAAACCCCAAAACCCCAAAACCCCAAAACCCCTAAAATGTCTCAAAAGACTGATGAATAAACCCATGAAATAAATCAGCACACTGGTTGTCTTTTAGCTATCCTGGAGAGTCGATAAAATCTGTAGTAACTTATCGCACGTGGTCTTGAGATGCAGGTCTCCGTCGTCCTCTCTAATGTTGGTTACCCACTTATAGACCTATGGAGATGAGCCTAAGAGAAAGTTGTAAAACCTACTTCGTTGTATTTCTCCTTCAAATCTTGAAGCATGAACTGCTTTGTGCCAAGGATCAAAGTAGTGAATATCTCAAGCAAGATTTTCCTGATGCTTGTCTCATTTAGCTCCATGTAAACAGGAAGCATCTCCAGAGTTTCCTTTGCGAAGGACTCAAATTGATGGCTATGGGTTAGGACAAAACAAATTTACCTGTTCATACTGTAAAATAGTACTGTGGATAAGCAGTGTAGGTAAGTCAAAGCTAGATCATGCTGATCAAGGAACGACATGTATGTATCTGAGTACACTGGGAGGGACAGAAGAGGATATAAGAACTTGTGGCTCAAAGTTAGGAAATAATTCTTCTTCACTACGCCCTTCCTTTTCGAGATTTCATAACTCTTCTTAAATGTTGTATTCTCTAGAATCCTCTCATTTATCTTCTGAGATGCCTCTGATAAGGCACCTTCTTCAGAAGGAGTCTCAAAGAAGGATCTAAACTCATGTGAAGGGTCCTCATCAGAGGCAGATTTCTCAGAAAAAGTTCTTTCTTGTTCCTCCGTATTAGCCAGTTCTTTGACCACTTCTTCAAGTAAGGAGAGTAATCCCATTTTCTGACCGAGAGAAGCCTCTCTGTATCCTAGCCTTTGGAAGAATATGGGGGCTGAGGTTGCAGGTTTTATAAATAAGCATGCTTTTATTGCTCCCTTCTTTAGCTTCTCAAAGTCATCCTTATTGAATTTATTCTCTAACCTAAACAGAATCTCAATAAGATCAGGAATCATTGACTCAAGATTTGGAAGATTTTTAGTAATAAGTTCTTCTGATACTTCAAGTGCTAGATGAAATCTTTCAAGACTATCGCTCTGGAGCCCGAGATATAGATCATATAAATGGGTAGGTCTTGACACAGATATCACATCAGAACCGTCGTCTTCCTCCATTTCAAAGGGTGCAAAGTCGCTATCATTGTCACTGTCATTAGAGTCATAGAACTCTTTAGTTTCTCCTGTTGTATCCTTGCTCTGAAATTTAAAACTGTGGGCTTACTTCAACTTCTTGCTTTATTTTGTTCGTTTTAACTGGAACAGGCTTTTCTTGGATCATATCAAATTCCTCGATTTGATCTGGAGTAAGAATGCTATTCTCTATCGAGTTTATGTGAGTGAAGGTATCCCAGATTATGTTCGCATGCAGGACTCATTCTTTACGCTTCGTATCAAGTCTGGTGTTTATCCCTATTCTGATAGAGTCAACCTGGGATCTGTCCAACTTCGTACTGAAGAGTATTAAGTGTCTGACTAAGTACGTCAGGTACTCAAGTTGATTAATACTTCCGATATTGATCAGTCTCTTTGTCTCCCAGATCTCTAGTGCTTTGGTCAGATAGGGACTCACAGTGTCTGGTTGTACTAGAGTTTTAAGAATGTCGAATAACACTTTTGCATCCTTTTTAGAGTAATTTTTGTGCAATAATTTGCCACAAACTACTGATCGGATAATTTTCTCTTTGGAGAAGTTCTCTAAGAAGCCTTCTTCAGCAGCAGAAGTGGATGTTTTGGCGTCTTCCCTTCTAGAGCCAATATATGGAAGCAGTATTGGGAGGGTATCTATATCAAGAATCCTCTCGAAATCAACTGAGTTCTCGATCAGCCTAGCCAATGTCATTAATTTGGTAGTATTGTCATTCTGTAGACCAAGGATTTCTCTTTTAGTAGTCTGGAATATTTCTGCAGAATAGAACATTTTTGCGAAAACATCTAGATCCTCTTTGGAGTACCATGCTGACTCACTAATATGCTCTAAACCGTCATGATTAACCACCTTGATTGAAGTATTTCTTACCTTCATTGAGAATGTCATCAAGCGAGATATGAGCCAAGACTTCAGATATCAGTCTCTCATAGAAATTGGTAGTCAGATCTGCTACTTCTTTAGGCATTCCACTCTCATGGAGGAAACCATTGGCTGCATAAAAGTTGAGGACCTTGTCTTTTGTGCTGATCAATCTTTGTAGGATTTCTTGGGTGTCTATAGGAAAATATTGAAAACATTTCAGAGCAAAATGAACAAGAATTTGTATGATTGCCTACCGAAGTCACCCTTCAATATCTCGATGATGTCTCCTTCTGTGTGGAATAGATTGGTTAAGAACCATTGGATGATTTCTCCGAAATAACTGTATTGGTGATTTCTCAAATCCTTTTGGTCTGTTAATCTTGATTTGATGCGCTCCAAAACTGATTGGAAGATCATGAATAAGGGAAATTTGGCAGGTGGACTTGGGAGGGATGATAGGATTTTGGAGCATTTTTGGCTAGGAGTTGGGGAAGAGAGCAGGGTGAATATTCTAAAGTATAATTTAGAATTTGAGTACTTTGAAGCAAAGGAAGTATCTGAGGATGTTTTTGACATTTTTATTGGGTTTAGAATTAAATTTTATAATATCTTTGAATGCTGGGGTTTTGGGGTTTTGGGGTTTTGGGG